AGCTGCCAGAGAGCTTTGAGTGCCAAACTGATATAAATGCCCCGGAGGGATGCAAATCCAGCTCTGTTATACAGAACTACTGTGTCCTTCATGAAAATATCCACTAAGTATCCTTTTAACACATAAAGCTAGAGCCAGTCTGAGACTGAACAGTCAAGCTTAGCAGCTGGCCAACTGAATTGTAACCCATGTGAGCTACAAGGCTCAGAAAGGGAGGTAGCTCCTATATTTTCCCTCTCATTTTCTGAATTACAGATGATCACTGGACTGTGGCAGGATATTGAGGGAGGAAAAGAACAACATACAGAGGAGGAGGTGAGGAGGTACTGTAAGTGGCCGTAATAGAGAGAATTCAAATGCGTCAGAAAGGTGGTGAAAGTCAGATAATGACTGGGAGGTCTGCAAAGAGGAGATGAAAGGAGCCTGAGCAAGTGGGAGAGGCATGAGAAAAAAGTAGGGAAGAAAGGGAGAATAATGAAAGAGAAGTCTAAGGAATAGAAAATTAGGGGAAAAGGTTATATTTCTTCTTCCCCTCCTCCATCTGCCCCCCACACATCCCTTCAGTGCACTCCTCCCTCCTACTCGTTAATGCTGTAACTGAGGAAGGCTCCTTCCTAACACAAGGTGCTGGGCTGCCTCTCTCCTATAGCAGGAAAAAAAGGCTGACTGCACATTTGTAACATCTCATCACAGACTTGCCCGCGGTGTTGAACCACCCATGCCTTCGGCAGACCTTACCCGTGAGGCCGTAGGGTTTGCAGTCGGTAATGGTATGTGGTGCAGGAACAGCCCAGAAGTCTTACCCAGAGAAGCCACTTTCATGAACAGGTACTGGTATAGAGCACTTGCAGATTTGCACGTGCCTCGTGGAAAAGGAGCACAGATACGGTGACTCCCTTTCAGGGTAATTATCACTGAGAATACTCAACAGAATATAAAGAAAATTAATTTTTTGGCAAACTTCTTACGTTTTCAGGAAATGTAGAAGCAGCTGAGCTTTTGTTTTAGCTTCTACCGTGGATGAGCTTTTTCATACACGGATGAAAACGCTTGCATATCTTCACAGTGCTCCTATACCTGGAAATGCGGATATCTTCCATACAGAATTCAATGGGTGGTTGCAACAAAATTAACAGTGGGTAGGAGAGCTGACCAGAAATTGGTCAAGAGGTAAGAACACACCAATGAAAGTACGTTTATAAAGAATTAGCTCTCTGAATACAAAAAATATCATTATTGTAGTATCATGGAGATGACTCATCTATTGAAACCTAATGGGACACCTCACTATTATCCTTCAGACACCCCGCAAGGAAAAGTTATTTAAATATATTATGTGGCCATTTTATCCTTTTTTTTTTTTCCAGTATCAGATAGCTATAGCCAGCAACATGTGACTTTTACAGAACTGAAAGCAAAACATTAAGAATAATATTTATTTTAGAAAAAAAAAAAATATATCCAAACAGCTGCCTTCTGAAATTAATCAAGAACTACTTTCTAGCTATTTCATCTTAAAAATGAGCCTCAATGATTTGGCCAACCATTTCAAATATAGTAATTGTGGAGGACAAGAAACATGTTGTTACTAGACTCTTATATTAACAAAATTGCTTCATTTTACACTACCCTTCTTTTCAGATCTCTGCAGCACATGACTGGATTGATACTGTTCTTTAAATAAATGATGTGTCTGTATCATTATCATTCTGGTCACTGCCTTCTAAACATATCCAGGAGACAGCAGAAGTATGCAAATTCAAAACACAGATTATTAAAAAGACCAAACTAATGAATCACACTTTCATTACTCAAAGAAAACAGTATTTGAAATATGGTCAAAAGTGGTAGTGGCAAAAATTAAGCACACTGCCCTGACTTTACAGCAAAATGGTATTTTTAACGCATGGCAGTCAACTTTCCGAAGTTTAATTGGTGGCTGAAGAGATCAGAACAGGAGGATCCTCAGAGGTTTGAGCTATTCCAGGACAACATCATCGGTGATTTTTTTTGACAGTGTGTTGACTTTCCTTAGAAGTTTTGTTTGTTAATAAATAAAAAGGAAGTCTAATGGCCTCTTTTTGTTCTTGATTTTTTTGCTCTTCTTTTCAGTGAGCATTGACAGGCATGCCTGAGAGACTCCAATCCATTTCAAAGCTGGATATGGACTGGGATACAAGTAGAGGCAGCAGAAAAATGATAATGAAAGTGAACCATTCAGTATTCTGATGAAGTTGAAAAATTAGAACTGCTTACATAAGTCAGAACTTATTTGCATTTCCTGACATTTCTGGTCTCTCAAAAAAGATTTTATGCTGTATAACAAATAGATTAATGAATAAAAAAAAGAAAAAAATAAGCAAGGGTCCTGTCATCTCATTTAGTGGTACCTGCAGTTTGGGCCAAATCAATTCCCTGCTCTTAACTCTGCTTCAAAAACAGATTCAGTGATAGATGCATCCAGGACAAAGAACATACAAACTGAATGTTTAAATACTTGTTTGCAAGTCTTTGCCGGCCCAGTGTATATTTCATATGGAGCATGGGCAGATTCAAATCTTCCATTTCAGAGTAAGCAGCAATCGTAAACCATTTGTGAGTGCACTTTGAGAAACCCTTTAGAACTTGTCCCCCTTGTCATAACTAGCATTATAAAGAAGCTTTAATGGATATAATAGGCATGCAAATAATAGTTTCTAAATGACTTGGTTTCGCAGTAGGCAGAACATATCCCCAAATTATTCTTCCATTTAGATACTCTTTCTGATTTCAGAACGAAATAGAAGTTTTCAAAGTCTCTGCCTACTGACTACTGCTTTTAATTAATCTAAACGTATCTGGAGTTACTATGTAGACTGATATTTATCAGTAACAATGCTTTCAACAGCAGGGAGAAAGAAGAGCTGCTCCGCTTTCACTCCACCCCTGCCCCAGTCCCTGTTTTCCTGTGGGACAAGGGTAAGAAATCACACCAACTCCCTCAAAGTGCACCATGAGTCATAGAGACAAAATGCCTTTCACTGTATTTTGATTAGGCAGGTATAGCTCTGATGCCGATTCCTCCTCTCCGTGAGAGTAGAGAGGGAAGGTACTAAACACGCTAGCAGTTTAGACAGCCCAGGGGATATTAACAACTACATGAGATGACTGTCAGCAACAGACCAAGCCTGCTTTACCTCTGGGCACAGGACCAAAATGCTGCACTCACTGACTCTGCTCCAGACCCCGCAGGCATTTGCCCACCCGTTCCCTTGTACCAGTGCTGCCCCTCGCCCTCACAGCCAGGTCTCACTGAGCCTTGGAAAAGTCCAAACTTTTTCATTCTGGCATTTTAAAGTGAAAGAAGCCACAGGAAGAACTTGTAAACAAATCCATTTTCACCTCAGTGCTGGCTGCATTTTAGGGCAATGGGAGCAGAGATTTTTACCAAGCTTTCCTCTGCAGCATTGCAATGGAAAAAGCACAACTCCAGACTCATGAAGTCAAATTAAACACAATGTCATTAAAAACTTAGCTGCTGATACAACATTACATCAAAGCTGACCAAAGGAAAACACAGTCATGAGAAAACTGCATTAATTTAACTAACCCCTGAACAGTACAGCCTGAATAATAGGAAGAAGTCTCCCTGTAAAATCTTCTCTCCCATTTCATTGGCACTGTAAGACACTGGGAGTTTGGCAGAAAACACAGTAGAGATACTGTAACTCTCATTAACAGGGCATGTGCAGAGGGAAAACCATATACATTAAGAAAAAAAGACAGACTAATGGCACAACGTGGACATGGAAAACAGGTGGTTCTGAGACTTTCACAAACTGCAATAGCATCAGCTATGAAGGTGATGAATGCAACTCACTGGACTGAAATGAGAACCCTGCTCTGATTTAAATCTGCTCTAATTTGTGTCAGACACTGCTTGCCTCCTCACCTGTGAACAACACTCGGGCACATCTGATGGGCTACGGCTAAGCGTAACACCAGCAGCAGACATGTCATAAACAAACATCAAAGTAAATATTTTACCAGGCATATGTAAGCACTTATTAAGATGTATATCACATCTTCAATGTCCTTGACATTTTACAATAGTGTTTATTTCCTTGCTTGCTAATTCACAGAACTGGATAATCTGCAAGGAATTTACACATTAGAAATGAGCAAGGTTTTTGGGCATAACTTCACAAATAGGATATTAGCACAACATCATTCTAATATAAACATACACAATGCTAAGTAGGAATAGAGTGTTTCCTAAGGGCAGAGGAGCTCCTGTATGCCACTGTTGCGTGACAACCTGCAGGGAACTTGCTGGAGACAAAAAGACCCAGTTTGTGCTGTGTCCAGGCTGAACACGAAGAGGAAAGAGGCTGAGAATTAGGTCAGTGAATCTGTGACCCGCTAGTTATATCAGCCCAGCACTCTTGTCAGGAGAGGGGAGATAAAACAATTCAAAGCCTAAAACAGCTCTAAGAAGATAGTGGCATCCAGTCTACAAATGTGGACTCCTTTTCTTTCCATGAAGAAAAAGCCCACAACTAGGCTGTGTACTGTGACCATTTATAAAGCCCAACACGTGGCTTGTATTCACAGTTATTAGTGCTCACATGTAAGATTATAATGAAAATAAATCCCATTCGAACACATCATTCTATTGTCACCTGGTCACTAATAGGATATAAAAATCATTCTGAGACATCATTTCACAGAGACACCTAATGAAAATGTTTCAAACAAAGATCTGTAAAAATTAAACTGGAGGCTTAATAATTCCTCTGTAATGTGAAGGAGTAGCTGTGAACAGTTTTGGAGGAGGCACACACTGTAACTAGATGCAGGGTCTTGTTATTTTGTTAAGGTTGTCAGAGGCATTTGCTTTTTTCCCCGACTCATCCTTTTCCTTAGTGGACATTCTGACCCTGAGTCCTGGCAAATCCAGCAGTACCAAAAAGTTCTCTCTGGTACCTCATTAATCACTCCCCTGCCATTTGCTATCTTACCTGCAGATGTAATTCTTCTTGCAGGATTCTTGTAAATTCAGGCAGTTTGGTTTCTCCCTGTCCTCATATGAACACACAGGAACAATAGTCTGCCGTCTCCTTTCTGTACAGGCTACGTCTCGACAGGAGCAGAAGAGCATCCCGTAGCTGTGCTTTGGGGGAACTTTGTCAAAAAATAGCCGGAGGGCCTTATGACACTTCCGCTTGTTACAGATTTCATTAGACGTGCTGCTGGTGCAGGGGGTTATGTAAGCAGATCTGAACCTCTTGCAGGTATCATTTAGGTTACAAGCTTTTGCTGCATCCAAGCAATTGTTCCCCTTTGAAAGTACTGGCTCCACTAGAAAAAACAACACAACAGCAGTAAGAAATGCGTCACATTTATATTGTGTTTTGATGTTCGCGTTTATTTCACTGTTAACGAGATCCTGATTATACATTTGTTACGTACCAAACTTTCAGTGCCAGAAACTGCGACCAGTTTCTTAGGGTAATGGTTTAACGAGCGAACAGGAGCACAGGCATGCGTTAAGGTCAGAACGCTGGCAAGTGAGTGACGATTACACTGGGCAGGCTGTACTTCATCTTCTTGGTAGCAGGCATGCAGGATGGACATTGGGTAAGACTTGGACTCGCTAAAAAGCTATTAAAATCACTGATAAATTGCAGGGGACACATTTGGCCCTTTGCACAGGAACACAGTGAGAACGTGGGCTCCTAACTCTGGTTTTGCAAAGCTGTGACATTTTTGGATTTTTCCCTTGACCAGTATAAATAACATTCAGTGTCTACACCAGGTAACAACATTTAAATACAACTTGTGTACTCTGCAGAGTGTAAAAGCCACTTGCCTCTTAGTACAGATTTGAGGTCTGAAAGCAGCCCACCCAGACAGAAAGGAAAGCAGGGGCAGCCCCATGACTGTGAGCTCTCGAAGGCCACCCACAAGGCCTGTCAGCTCCATGCTTAGGTAAAGACATTGCTGTAAGATCTATAGATGCCACCTGAATGAACCTCGAAAGGTTTATGAAGTCTAGAAGCTTTGAAAGAGCTGACGTAGAATTAACAAGTGGCTGTGAAAGAAACATTTTAAAACAAGAAGTATGTCTCTCACACACACACACACGCATACTCTATAAGAAGTTATAGAAAAAAAAAACTCAGATAAAAGTTAAGACTATAATTACACATTTAATTTTGCAATACATTATCCACATATTAAAACCCAATATAAGCTTTGCTTGAAAATGAAGGCAACTGGCATTAGAATGCAAAATTCAATAAAGAATAATCATAGAGGGTGGTGAGGCACTGGAACAGGTTGTCCAGAGAAGCTGTGGATGCCCCATTCCTGGAAGTATTCAAGGCCAGGCTGGATGAGGCTTGGAGCAACCTAGTCTAGTGGAGTGTGTCCCTGCCCATGGCAGGGGGCTTGGAACTAGATGGTCTTTAAGGTTCCTTCCAACACAAACCATTCCATGATTCTATGTAGTACTGCTCTGGATATTAGGATTGCCAACATCACAGATCCAAGTAAATACACTAACTTCCCATTGCTACAGAATTTGCAAGCTGAAGAAAGCATATTTTGCAAATATCTAAAATACAGCACCAACCTCTTAGTGGGGCTGGCCAAAGAGAAAACATCTCAGAAGATCTAAAGACTTAAGATCTTCTTAATAAAAGCTTTTTTCCTATATTTTCCAGCTGTTCCCAAAAGCTCAGTCCAAGACCCTTCTGTAACTCAGTGCCACTCTTCTCTGTTCTCCTACCAGTTTGCCTCCCACTCCCAGATTAGGATATTCACCTTTTATATTTTTCCATGTGAGGAGAGGATGATGTAGCTTGGCTGACGTGGTTCACTGACGTACCGCAATTGCCTGAACTGACTGTGCCCAAGATGGGCAAGATACAGCACCTGCTACTATTCCCTGTATCTTACCTACCCAGAAATAATGTAGTGCGTAAGTAACATTAGACTTGATTTTCACTCTAGCGGTATTCACTATGTTCAGTGGGTTCGTACACTTAAGATTTGTACATTCAGTATTCATGCTCCAAGCCCTTCCCAATCACAGTTTCTTACAGAATAAACCACAACTTTTTTCTTCGTAAAAAGTTACACAAATTACAAAATTATAACCATGCAATATTTGACTATAAATTAACAGAGCCAAGTATTTCTTATAATAGCAGCCTACCACAGTTTAAGCAACACCAGATGCAGAAGAGATGAGATATCCAATATACAACCCTCTCATAAACTTGTAACTTTTTTATATAAAAATGTTATTACATTAGCATACAACTATAATCTTAACTACAAACTCTCACAGTTATTTTTATACAGTATATAGAATTACATGTTTAGTACAAATATAATTACTATGTAATCTTCAGGGCATATAATTATGCAATATATGAATAGTACATGCTAATTACTATGCGATTGCAGAGTAATTACATGGTTATTTGTGCCTGGAAGTCAATTGCTGAATTCCACTCTTTAAAACAAGATTCCGTGGAAGAGCATTTCAATACAAACTGACATCAGCTTTCTGTGTGATATATTATAAATCATACTTTAAAAGAAAACCCAAGATGTAGTAAAGCACCTCTTCACTGATAATCATATACGCGGTTTTCATTAAGGGTCTAAATGCTGATACAGAATTAAGAAGCACTGTGAACATGAACAGCTCAAAAATCAAAATTGACAGGTTAATCAATCTTTTTAAAAAAAGGAGCACAAGCCAATTCAATGACCACACAAAGGTTATGTGAAAGCAGTGAAAGTTATCCTGCATGAAAGCTGAATTAGGTGCAAATTTTCATAAACAATAGTTATGCTAATTTATATTTTAATACAATTTGTGTCTACCCAAGACTTGTAATCCTCCACACGTCAACTCTGTACACGGACCAGGTCTTTTGGTGTTTGGTTTTGGTTTTTGTAGAACTACCCCTGGCTGTAACTTGCCACTTGCTTTTTCCACTTTGCTACCTACGTATCTAGCTATTGTTTCTGGCATATTTATCATCACATTATAAAAATTATTTCTACCTTTTAAATCCAAGACTAACATACAGCACATGAGAGATGCATCAACTCCATCTGAATTAAAGACTGACTGAACCAACTCTTCTCATTAATGCTAGCTTCTCTCAAGCTTTTAAATCATGTTTTAATGCAAAATTTACAATCCAGAACATACTTCATGCTTTATTTTTATTGCAACAGTATAATATAATTATTCCTAAGTTCTGTGGTAACTACAAACAGTTAATACTGAGAGTGTCTCTGAGGATTACTTACACAGCAGTAATACATAAGGTCAAAGTTTCACCCAGCTTCTGTTCCGCAAAGCTAAAATTATTAAGACAGGCAGGAGTTTGGCTCTTACCAGGTACTGAGTACATTAAGAGCAAATGGATCTAATCCAGAACTGCTTTTTCTGCCAGCATCCTTTGGGAAAGGTCTATGTAAAGACACCCTTTTTCAGTTCCCGTCTCTCTTGGAGCACTTGGATGCGGACCGAAGGTGATCAGAGCAGCAGTCTGGGACAAGAAACGATTCCCTCCCACCACCATTTCCCCACCCAGAGCTTCCTCTCTCCCAAGTCCACTTTGCCTTGGGCCCATCTGGAAACCCCTGACAAACCATGCAGCTCTTCACTCCTGCCAAATCACAGCAGGCTCCAGGGTAAGCTACTTCCAGGCAGGCAGTAAGGGATGCCTCACGCCTGTGTGGGAGGTGCTGGTTCCCACCGCAGCAAGGGGCCCAGCAGAGCAGACCCGTGAACACCGGGACACTGCCTCCCTCCCCACAGAAGTCACCACCAGCTGCGAGCCCTATCCTGGAGTGGTGCAGGCAAGGCCATGGCGAACGCAGCCAGAGCCAGGAGCTGCTGCCTTGGTGGGAGCAGCAGCTCTCAACATTTGTACAATTAGGATGCCTAAAAATGTCCTCCTACCACGCCCTTTGCTGTACACAACTTGCAAAAACTCTGGGGCAGCAGTAATGGCTTCCTGATGCCAACTTACCTCTACACAGGTCTTACAGCGCGTGTAACATGGGAGGGCAAAGCGAGAAGTTTTCTGATAAACTTTACCAATGAAAAGGCAGGCCTTTTATTATAGTATAAGGTGTTACCATTCTGATATTTGTTATTTCCTGAGCCCCCCACACCTATAGAATGATAGAATCATAGAATGGTTTGGGTTGGAAGGGACCTTAAAGATCACCTAGTTCCAACCCCCCTGCCATGGGCAGGGACACCTGGTCCAACGCTGCTACTGCTGTGACAGTTCTGGACTCCAGCTTCCATATGAGAGCACAAAGACAGCCAAACGCTCCAGTCTTTTACCCAGAGAGGTTTCTAAAGTTTTAATAGGGCTTCCCCTGCTCTGTGTGATCCTCCTTATGCTCCACCCTATTTCACAGACTCTTCACCTTCATCTTTCACCTTCCTTGCATTTCCATTGCTATTTCGTTTCTGCAGCCACTGAGCCTTTGGCTGTCTCCTCAACTCCTGTTAACTCCATGGTGCACAACAAGGGATTCTCAGTCAATATTGGTAGCTTCTTATTTGTGCTCCCACTAGACGGAAGGAGTTAAAGAACTATTACTTGTTCTATAAGATTCTTATTAAACAGCAAAACGGACACAGCTTTCAATTTTCTTACAGTACATAAAAAAAATTTACTGAGGTTGCCATTAAAATTACAATTACTATTTGCAAGTAATTAGCCTTAGTAGGTTTTCTAAGGTTTTTAGTGAAGGGGATGCTGTAACGAGAGCAGTAAATGCTAATGTCATGGATGCCAAAATCACAAAGTGATCAAGATGAACACATGAGTGCACATGAAGAATATGGCATACCAGAACCTAAAAACAACCAGAATAGAAGAGAACCATGTTCCCACTTTCATAAACGTGCTGCTATATGGTTCACCAAAGCACTTCTGCTATGTAGGAAGAACAGATTCAAAAAATAAGTAAAGCATGGGAAATCTGCATCTTAATGGATTTAAATAAACTATCATTTTCCTGGACAACTTATTTCTAAATGGCAGAGGAAAAACAAGTCACCCCTGAGAAATCATGATGATGCACATGACATGCTCATGTTATTCTGAGGTTCTATTTGTCTTCTACTCAGCTTTTAGAGAATAGTTAGGCCTACTTCAAACCTTTTCCATAATCTTGATAAGCACATGCTTTACTTTTTAAAATCAAAGCTAACACATTATCAGCTATACCCATGGCTTTCGTAGTACTACCAAATATAACAATATGCATGTTGAAATTACATGTACAGTAGGTACACCGGGTGACAA